AATTTTCAGCATCATTACTCCAGTCTTCAGTTTCACATGATCCTTAAGAAATCATTATAATATGCTGATTTGGTAATCAAGAAAAATTCTTATTATTCAATGTTGAATAAGTTGTGCTACTGAATATTTTTGTGGAAACCGTAACACTTTTTCAGGATTCTATGACGAATATAAAGTTCATGAGAACTGCATTGATTTGAAATAGATATCTTTTGTAACATTATGTCTTTACTGTCACTTTTGATCAATTTGATGCATTCTTTCTGAATAAAAGTATTAATTTCTTGGATGTGCATATACTTATTTAAACAAATACAATTATAAGAATTAATAATAGAAGTAATAATAATAAAAACATGAAAAACATGGCTTTTGTGTAGCTTTGTCTAAATAAAACCTCACAATATGTAACCAGTAATCAACTATATATAACTAAATACTGTATATACATGATTTAACAAGCACTGATTGCAATAAATTGCATCTACAAAAAACAGACATTCATAAAAAAAATTACACTTTTACACGGTTAAATATTATGAACAGTACAGATGACACACTGTTTGAACACATGCCTGAGATCAATCAAATAATATACAGTAATGTTATTGAAGCAGCATCGATGCATGGAGGTGTCAGAACTTGATCTGAATATGAATAATTTGTCTAACCTTTGGTTGGTGCTCAATTCTGTAGGGAGTTTGCTGGAACTGTCGGATCTCTCGTATGATATGAGATATCTGCAGACAAAGTGTCATGATTTATTAGTCTGCCCACACAATATCAATCAAAGATAATAAAGCTACACAAAAATGAATTCGTCTTTTAATCCCTGAGCAAATTATACAGGATATGACATAATTTCTTACCATTCTCATCTTTGAGAAGTTAACCAGACCTTCCTCTGTGAAGTTTGGTGTTCCCTCTTCGATAAATGCGAGGTCTGTCAAGTACATACCCAGATATGGAACACAAGGTGGATTACAGCTGCAGAAAGACAGAAATGAGGTCAAAAACAAGTCATAAGTTATGTAATAATAATGTAGGTGTTTTGAAATGTATCAGTAGCTCACTTTTTTAGAGTTTCCCTCAGGTTTTTAAACCTTCCCTCAGATGACACAGTCTTTTGAAGTTTGTCCATTAGTACTTTAGTCTGTTTGAAGAGACACAACAGCGGTGAATAATTTATGACTTTCCATACCGATATAATCTACTACATAAAACATTACAGCACAGTATTCAGTCCGCATCTCTCACCTGTTTGCACACTTTAGCCCATGTCTTCTTTAGCCTGTAGATGGCGCTCCGGTTCAGGGCAGATGTGATCTCCAAGACACCATTATAATTGTTGAGACAGCGGCAAATATCAGCCACTGCTACCCATTTTTCAATAGAGCTGGCTCTAGAGCCCACATCTGTGTGGCTCATGATCTGTGAGGCCACGAGATTACTCATCTACACAGAGAAAGAGAGAGATATTTTTATGAACAGGGTCACGCTTTTTTACTTCAGTATCCTAAGAGGGTAGCAGACAGATATTTACATATAATATACTCACATCATTGAAGTGCTGACTTGTCTTCATGATATATGGAGTTCTCTCTGTCTTGTCTGTCTTCATCCATCCTTGGCCCAGGAACTCCCTACAGCAAGAACACAGTCAGTGTATTGTGATAGATGTGCATCTGCAGAGGCTTCTTCTCTCATGAACACACAAGCTTTTTTGAAGCCCATAATGAGTATGTTCAGTAAGGCGGACAGCGATTTGTTCATTATTCTCTGGTGTCTTTGAGGCTTGAGGTCTGCATCTCTCTGTACTGTGTTGATGCTCTACTCACTCGTAGGGAATGCTCCGGAAGACAATGTGATCGAGAAGAGTGATTTGTTCAGCTAGCTCCATCGCTGAC